TAATCTCGAGATCAACATTACAGAGGAGGAGTTACGTCGCATCTTCAGCAAATATGGCATTGTTGATGATATTGACATAAAGCGACCACCGCCTGGCACTGGTAACGCATATGCCTTTGTACGCTTCCAGACTCTAGATATGGCACATCGATGCAAAGTAGAACTGTCAGGTCAATATATTGGTAAATTCCAATGCAAGATCGGTTATGGAAAAGCAACTCCGACAACCAGAATATGGGTGGGTGGTCTTGGACCCTGGACGTCCGTACCACAGCTTGAACGAGAATTCGATCGATTCGGCGCGATCAAAAAGATCGATTACATCAAGGGCGACAGCAACGCCTATATACTTTACGATTCGATTGATGCCGCGCAAGCCGCAGTTAAAGAAATGCGCGGCTTCCCTCTGGGCGGTCCCGATCGCAGATTAAGGGTGGACTTTGCCGACGTGACGCCGGGCTTTGGTTTCAAGCCCAGATCGTATCCCGAGGACAGCGGCGACTTTAGACCACGTCCAGTTGACTACGAATCGCCATATGATCCCTATGGACCTGATGGCGAGTTCGGTTACGGGCCGAGAGGCTTCCGGGGCAGAGGCAACGCACCGTGGCACGACAGGAGAGGAAGCGCTCGAGGTGGCTATAGAGGCTCCTACCCTGACGGCTACGTACGAGACGAGGCCGACTGGCCCAGTAGGAGGCCACCGCCCGAATTGGAGTACGAAACGCCGCGTGGTCTGAGGAGATCGCTTTCGCGTGAACCAGGAGTGGATAGATCGAGATCGCGTTCACCACGTAGGCGACAGATGGACTCGGATTCGGATTCGGAGAACACTCGTACCGGAATGTTGTCGACATCTCGTACATTGCCGGATGTAGCACGTAAATCCATCGCGGTTTGGCAAGGCGCGTTGATATTAAAAAATTCACTATTTCCAGCCAAATTCCATCTGACTGATGGCGAAACGGAAATAATCGATTCTCTCATGAAGGATGAAGAAGGTAAACACATGTTGCGTATAACGCAGCGATTGCGCCTTGATCAGCCAAAGCTAGACGATGTTTCCAAACGAATCCAAACATCGAGTTCGCATGCAATCTTCCTCGGTTTGGCTGGTTCGAGCACCGCGATTACGAACGACGATGCCAATGTGCAGACTAGGCCATTGCGCAATCTTGTCTCTTACCTGAAGCAAAAGGAAGCCGCCGGTGTCATATCGTTGCTAAATAAGGATACGGAAGGCACTGGCGTGCTCTATGCCTTCCCACCCTGTGCATTTTCGACGGAACTTTTGAAACGCACGTGTCCTAGTTTAAGCGAAGAGAGTCTTAAGGAAGATCACTTGGTAATCGTAGTGGTTAAGGGGGTAGCGCCTAAAGCAATCCTAGTATATTGTTTTGTGTCTGTATTTTCTATATCATAAGTGCGAAAATTCTTCAACACTACTTTTAAGAGATATTTCTATCCTGATTGTTTGACAACGAGACATTTCTTTTCATGTGGATTGAACGGAGAGTACGATATTTTATATCTGAAAAGCTGTAAAATGAGGGAAAAATTTTCCGTTTCTTTATGTCTTTCACACAAAACATTTGCCATCGCGAATCTTTGCATTTTAGATGGTGTACAGCACAATTTCTGAAATGAAGAGATTCATGGTGGTAAGTATTTTGTATATGAAAAGTATAAAGAAATTAAATTTTTTTTTCATTTTACAGTTTTACAATTGCAAGATTATATAAATAAATAATTATGTTTTTAATATTAAAATGTCGTTCTTTTCATCCAATCAATTTTCGAGAATATGTTTCTTTATCAAACAAGCATGATGGAGAAGCCTCTTAAGATTGCTGAACAGTATACAGAACTTGTCAGAAGGAGAACTTGTGTTTTTTGATCGATGTAAGTATTTCCTTTTCTACTGGCTTCCAGATTGACTTTATATGATTATAAGCAGAATCATATGAAGTACTTTGATACTTTTTTTTATACATGAATGTACATTGAATTGACATAGGATTGTCGAGTGTGTTAACGATTACATCTCGCAAATCGAATATACGCATAAAGCTCGCAATGCTTAACTCGACTCTTATTAATCGATTAGATTGACACATGATTACATTTACATAAATTTCCGGGCGAAAATTAAGCAGTGCGAGTTTTTGTCGCACGTTATCACGCCTGATCCTTGTATAGTTGTTAAACTTAATGATAGACGCGAGTATGACGCGATTCTGAAACATTATTAAAATATATTGTGTTGTGTACAGTAATCTTGATTTGTGATATACTTTTCCAGAATTATGACTACTTCTTCGTAACTGCACATCATCGACGTTGCTGCTAACACATGAAATTAGAGTACTTATTTTCTATCAAAAAACACAACCTTGGTACCGTTCCCCTAGTTAGACTTACCGGGTAGCAGATTATCAAATGGTGAAGTTTCTCTATCAGCAAAATCCTTATTGACTATACTAAATTTTGTTACGATTACTGTAACCCTCATTATCCCATAAGTGACGCTATAATTACTTTCCAATGTAGTATAAGAGAATCTATTTGTATTATATACATATATACATATATATACTATACGTACATATTAATGATGATATTGTGCACAGCTCTTTCACATTTGCAGACGTGCGTGTAATTATATCCTAATGTAAAACGCTTCTATTTTTTGGCCAATCCAAGATGAATGTCTTCTTGAGACAGATGTGTGCACATGAAAGATAATTGAATTTTCTGCATAAAATAAGGAAACTGAGAAGAAAGAAATCCTTTATATAACTATAGATTTTAACGATATTAAGTCAGACGTTTATATGTTTTCATTTGACAAAGCTATATTTAAATTATACTTTACAAAAAAAAAAAGATCGTTCAAACAGAGCACTTTCAAGTATAACAAACGCATTGTATAGATCTATAACGACATGAAAACGCAGACACACGCATATAAAACAAAAAAGATAATTTTAATATAAGATTTATAAAATCTTAATGGCAAAAATGTGAAAGGTCTGGATTAGAATATATTTGATATGGAAAAGTTTATACAATTAACATTGTTTTACGACTTATCTCTGTAGATTTCTTTTGTGTGACATAACATTTAAGTGATTGTGCAGTAAGTAAAAGATCCGTGAATATAGTTACGACAAAAGTTTTTAAAGTTTGGACTGTGCCCAAGAGTGAAGACAGTGAGGAAAAAAAGAGAGCAAATCTAGGAAGAGACAGAAATCTGTTTATTGCAAAATGTAAAGTTTATCGCATCTGTGCTTTCGATAATGTCGACAGAAGTTTATTTCTTTTTAAGTGAGGACTGTTTTTTTTTCTTCTAAAGGACAGTGTTTGGTGGCATTAAAAAAGAAAGATGAGCTCTGAACATGTGTCCAGTGAAATGTAAAGAAAAGTGATTGTGCTCCGCATCCCGGTATGACAGAGAAGCACCTCGAACATGTCTGAAAAAAATATTTTTATATTCATTTCAGTCATGAGGGAAAAAAAAAAGAGAGAAAGAGAGAAGAGGTGCGGATCTCTGGCCATATTTGAATGCGATTGAAGGTGCAGTGGTTAAGTATATTTAGTGTTTGAACGGAAAAAAATGATGCAGTTTATGTAGAGAAAAAAAATTCAAAATGTGTCAATTTTCTTAGTACCGTTCTTCACCTATCAAATTCGACAGATTCTCGGGAACTCGATTGAATGTTACAGTGATGCGCGATTCTCCAATGAATGGTTCTTATTCGCGATATCGCGAAGATTGATAATAATAAAAAAAAAAAAAAAGCTTTCGGGGAGATAGGGCCAAGTAAAATCGGACATTCACGCACAAAATCAATGAGAATGTTGGCGTCGCAACTCCTCGATCGGAATGCATGCATGTGGCCGAGAAATCAAATTAGACTGCTTTTGATTCGGAAGAGAGTCTCTGTATGAAATTCGATCTTTTGCGTTCGTTTAAGTGAAGTTAATCGTGCAACAATAGTGCTGTGATATCAATCATTTAGCAAATGACAATCTGAAGGGGGCAGGGGGGAAATGGGGAAAACGATCGAAGCGCGGCAACGTAGATCGCATAAATTTCAAGTGTTGTGTTAGCTAAGAAAAAAAAAATAATCGATTTCTCGCGAGGGAGAGAGGAAAGTCGTGCTCGTTCGTACGCGTTGTCGCCCGATATGAGAAAAGGAAACAGACGGCTCGTTGTGACGTTTAGTGTTTTTTGTGGCTTTGTGAATTCCCCTCTCAAAGGGGAAGAGAGAGAAGCAAATAATGAGAGGTCGCGAATTAACTTTCCGCACGCGCGTTGTCGAAATTATATTCGCCCGGAAGCGAGAGAGGGATAAGAATAGTTGTGTCGCCTGCGTACGTATCGAGTACAAAATTGTGCATCTGGAATTGTAGTCTCGCGGAGGGAGAACTACAGGAATAAAAAAAAAAAAGAGAGATGTAAGAACTGTCGGAAAAGACACAGTGGTTTGTCGGGTTAAAATTTAAATGCGTTCTCTCTGCGATTCTGTGTGCGGCCAAAGTGAGTTCAGTGGTTCGCTTCCGGTTTCGTTTTGCGTCGAGTGCTGTGCTCTCCTTCCCCCCGCAGGTTTCCGTCCGCAGACTGGGTACGCCAATGGAGACTCGTCGCGGTGTCGCTGTGTAAAGGAAAAAAGAAAACAAAAAAATTTCTAAAGTCTGTTTCAGAATCCGCCCATGGAACGGAAGGCAGATAACGCTCGCAATCATCTTTGATTACTGTATTCAGAACAAAAAAAAAAATTAGGAAGGAAAAAATAAATCAGAGATCTAAGATAATTTCATGCCTAGTTTTCCTAGTTTTTCTCATAGATGTCTTGCACAACTCTCGGATTTACCTTTGCGATCTTTATTATATCGTACATGTCCGTGTGATGGAAGCAGATGTAAATTTTGAAACGAGAAATGCCAACATAACCTGTAACCTAACCTAATCGAATAGATTCGGTTCCGTGTGAATATGATCGATGCGTGCGAACGTAAGTGTTTAACATTTAATCGTAAAAGTGGATTCATTCGTTTTTTTTTCTCCCTTTAATGGAAATGGAAATGGAAATAGACAATTTGACGGGATGCGTGATCGATGGGAAAAGAAAAATAAAGCTAATTTTTTTTTCATTAAAGAGGAAAACGAACGCATATTAGTTTGATAATACAGAATAGATATTCATTTTACAATTCTTGTGCTTAATTTTTTTTCCGAAATCCGGATATATGCTTGTTCGTTTTAAATATAGAAAGTAAGTGCAAGTAAGTGCAGCACAAATAGGAAAGTGCACGATAAATTCCGCGCGAGTTTTCAACGTAGTCTATTTGAGAAAAAAAATTAAATTAAAAAATTTTAGCTTTATTTCAAAGTTTAATTTAAAAATTTTCTAATTTTATTTAAAATTATTAGTTTATCTAATTTTATCTAAAATTTTGAACAAAAATACTTGAAAAATCGAAAATTTTCAGGTAATTTTTTTATAAAACTTAAGATACTTTGCTATTTTTTTCTTGTATGTTAAAATAATAATTAATTCTACCCTTGTTAAAAAAAAAATAGTATGGTTTTTAACTCAAGAGTCACGCGAGTTTCGAAACACACGTGAGTGAGGATCCCGCGTGTTTGTCAAAAGAAAGCAGACGACACCTATTTCAGACATCTTATTGGACAGTGTATATATTATTTTTCAATTTCCACAACTTTTTATAGACAAAATTAACCGCCGCTAGATCCGTGATTGAAAAGTAATCGAAGCTTATCTTTATAAAAAGGAGAAAGAAAGAGAATCGCTTAAGTCTTAACGGTAATGGCGTATATAATCCATGTCACGCGATGCTATCGATAACAGGAAGAGACGCGGAACGTGTAAACGGGAAATCACGTGCGGGGAAATTACATGTTGTATACGTGTGTGCGGCACGTCGCTGCCTCTTCTGCCGTACACGTAACAAAAATACACACTTTCAGCAAACCTGTTTGAACATTGATCGTGCGTGTTGCAAGTTATTCAAGAAGAGTAAAGCTAATTGGCTGATTCTTTTTTACTTACGATATTTACCGCCCGTCTGTATGACATTTAATTGCGCATAGCGAATACTAAATATTCCTAATGCGTGTATAATGTGTGTATTTATTATTATTATTCCTTTTTTTTAAATCATGTCGCTAATCTAAACCTAACTATGCCGAACAACGGATAAAAATGATCTGGACAAAATTATGAACGGTTCCCTGCCAAGTTATTCTGTTGTTCTTAGTAGGAACGATCCAGTCTTGCAAAGGTGCTCCAGTTCTTTTTGTTTCAACGGTAAGCTTCAATTAGTAAGCAAAATATTAGAAATACGCTAGAAATTTGCCAACAGATTCACTAGCGGAATATCACGGCAGATTGACGTTAATTCATTAAGGAGGTTATAAGGGAGATTAAATATGTTAAGAATTGTATAAAATTCGTAAAATGAGCTTATTTACGAATAATAGTATGTAAATTTTTTTCAGATCTTCATCAGTTATTTTCTTCGTAATACCTCATATTTTTATGTATGTTTATCAGCAGATTTTGTTATATTTCTACTAAAAATCTGCCGACAAAATTTCTAGCAGAACTTTATGAAATTTATTTTTGACAGATTTGATTATTTGGGTAGATTTAATATTGAGTGTTTCAAAAAATAATACCTAATCAAAATCTTTTGCAAAAATCGATCTCCTTCGAGAGATTCATAAATAAAACTTACGTGATACTATTTTTCGTGTTAACTCGCGTACAATATAATAGCAGCCTTTGTAATAATTTATTAAATTACACGCGAATATTAGAAGTATTAAACAGTTTTTATTTTCTAAAATTAATATTTTTTTCTGGTATTAAAGATTGAATTTAAATAATTTTTTAACCTTAATATTTCATCAGAATAAAGAGAATAATTGTCATAAAAGTTAAAAAATTCCAAAATTATATCTTTAATTCGAAAAAAAGATATTTAAAAAATATAAATGATGATCAGAAATGACTATGATCGGTCGGGACTTCTAATGTTAAATATTTTGTTAACACGAAAAATAATACCGTAGGCTTAAGAATATCCTGTGCGGTTCATACAAAATTGACAAGGAACAAAAGCAAAAAGTTGTAATGTCTTTCGTTAGTAAAGATGCGCGTGTGTAACGGACGTGTAATTACATTAGTTAATTATATAGAGATGTTCAGTCTCCTCGGAGTGTTGAATATGGAAGGCCGTGTTTGGTTCGAAGATAAATCTTACGAGAACCCAATTCGATACATTGTGCTCACGCAAAGCATTCGTCTCTTCTTTTCGTTTCTTTCCTCGAACGTTTCTTGCTCTTTTTCCAGAAGTATTTCCGGAAATATCAATGAGATTACATATAATATGACAAAGACGACGGTTCGGCTGATCAACGTTCGACTCCTGTGTAAATTCTTGACTTTTCATCCGCCAAGAATTTTAGAGAGACTTTACGCGATTTTTATAATTTGCATTACTGGAGTAAAATTTAATCTCGCGCATAATTTCGCTCGGTCTCTCTACGTTTTCGCCGAACACGTCTCACAATCAAACTCATCTCTCGCCTCCTCGTTCTTCAATTCCTATCAGTTCCTACTCGCTCGAATTATCTAATATAGACGAATAGACCTACACCTAGTCTCATGCTAATGAACAAAACTATATCGTCTCATATATTTATATATTTATATATATTTGTATTATGTGTGTGCATATGTATATACGTATACACGTACACACGCATATTTTATATCAGTCACGAAGTCGTCGAAACCAAGCCTGAGGGTAATTTGATTCGATACTACGATTGTTTAATGATTCAGTCGTAGCGTCATTACGGGCGCGTCGCCCGTATTACACGCAAAAGGAGCTTAAAATCGTAACATTACCATTAAGCGAGTAAATAACAAGAGCGCGCTGAAGCTTCTTCCCTTTCCCTTGTTTTCTCTTTATAATCCTCGTCAATTTTTAACCGGATTAAGAGAAAGCGCGATCGAGTTCCTCGATAACCCTCTTTTTTTTTTTTCGAACAGCGTAGGAAATTGTACCGAATATTGAGTCGTGGACTCTGATATGTTTTGCAGACTGTCTCGTTAAATTTGTCATCGTAAAATTTCTGATAAAATGACTAAACGTGAATTTTATGCATTCCGAGATATTTAGATCGAGTTGGTCCAAATTGGGAAAGGTCTGTGCCTCACGTCCCGCGCGGTTCTTCAGCGCGGCTCTTGCGAACTCGAAGAAAGCTTCTCTTTGTGAGCACCGTGTTTCTTAGAAGTGAATCCGCATCGTCGCCTGTTGCCCGTTCCGCCTCCTGCGAGAGAAAGGGAGGATAGCTAAAGAGGAGCGACAGCGAGGGAGCGTCGTTCGCCGAGGGAGAGTCGACTCCTCCGGAAACGTCGGTCGCCGATGTCTTTTTCTTCCAGTGGAATTCTCGCCCGAGAGACACTTCACTTTTCCTCGCGTGCCTCTGGACAACCCCAATGTCGCGGATTATTTAGTAGACCATTCGATGGGGGTACTGGTAGCTTCGTGGTTGGGAGCTTAATTGCAGCTGAGCGCTGGGGTACGGATCGTAGCTCTGAAAAAAAAGGGTAAGTTTACTTCCCTTACGTTTCGACAATTTCCCATTATTTACTCTTTCAAAACAAAAATTAGGCTTTAATGTTAAGAAACAAATAGTTAAGGGAAGGAGGCACGAAAACCAAAATACACGATCTTAGTGTTAAAATAATAAAAAATTATTATTTTACAATAAAATTAAAAACGGTAATCAATATAAATAAAATATCATAGACATTTCGACTTTTACTTTTTCTTTATCGCGAGTTTGTTTGGAGCGATTGTTTGGAGCAACTTAATTCACCTGCGTCCGCTTCTTGGACACCATGAATCTCTTCTGGGGGTAATACGCGGCACGCTGGGGATAAACGAAGTCGTACTGCGAATTAACGTGATTGCCGTATTGCGCGGCGCCCTCGTACTGCTGATCCAACTGGTTTCCGTATTGTTCGTAATAACTGGGAGGGTGGGTCCGGACGATCCCGATGTCGGAGGGCGACAACGTGTCGTAATGCCGTGAGGGATATATCGGCGGCAACCACTGGAGAGCTGAAAGGATACGGAATTGGTGAAAAAATCCTTTTTCAAGGATTTTTCACGAGAGAAACTGTTATACTCTTTATCTTCATGCACATCTTTATTCTGGAATAATCCTTATTAGAGATTTTTAATTATAGAATCTGTAAACACGAACCGTTTCTAGGATCATCCTCGTCGAGGAAATCGTTATCGTCTATCATATTCTCATATTCCTCATTAGCGTATTTGCGCCAATTCCTATTCATGGAAAAAAATTAATATATTATATGTATATAAAGGCATTATAAAAAGCCAGGGTTGGATAAGTTAATATTATTTTTTAACTAAATTAAATTAAAGTTAATGATTATAAAATTAGTTTATTTACGTTAAAACTAATATGAACTAACTCAGTTAAAAGTTGCATTAAAATTCAATTAAATTAAAAATTAATTTTATAAAGCATTATTTATATTAAATTTATTATATTTATTATTTATTATATATTATATTATATATTATATTATATTTATATTATATTTATATTTATTTATTTAAATTTATAATTTTTTTAATTAAAATATTCTAAATAATAAAATAGTTACAATATAAATCCAAGTAGCAAGATGATGTCATAATGACATCCAATAAATTTAATATTTTATTTGTAAATTAAATTTATATGAAATTAAAAAGAAATATTGTTTTCTTTTTATATGCGTTTCTTTCATAATTTTTTCTCTATCTAGGTAAATTTTTAATTTGGGAAAAAAGTGAATAAGTTCAAATTTATATGTTTTAAAAATAACTAGTTGAAGTTATAAATTAATATATAATTAATAAATTAATATATATATAAACTAATTTTTTAAAATAAATTAAAAGTTATTAATTTTTGACTCGATTAGTTAACTTAATTTTTTAACTAATTACTATCCAACCTTGTAGAAAGCGAAGGATTTAAACAATGTCGATCATTACCCGTTACGCCGTTCGTTTTCCCACAGTGTCAAAAGGGTGTACACGTCCTCAGGATCGAGGTCCAGAGACAATTCTCGCTTGTACCGCGGTTCCTGGTAGAACGGGACGCTGAAAATTCAAAACGAAACAACATTCCCACCTCCAACGATATTCGAATATCCTCTTTCGAGGTCTTGAGTGTAGAAATCTAAAAATAAGCCTCCGCTCGGATGGAAGCGTGCGGTACCTGATGATTTTCAATCTTTAATGATTCGTCGGGCGGTGGGATATCGCACGGCGCGATAACGCCTAAACATGACGATATGTCAAGGAGAAAACGGCGATCTGCAAACGGCGGCTACAAAAATTGTCATCGTTTTCCCGCGACGCTCAGATCGATGTCTCGCAATCTCGTTTCGGAATCGCTTCGTGAATTCGTTATTCCCGCGGCCGCTCTCGCGCGACGTGTCTATATTTCAAGATTGATCGATGCTTATCCGTGACGCAAAGCGACCGACGACGATCATCGACGACGACTCGTCTCTATGTCGCGGCGCGACTATTGTTCCTCGACACGAACGTGGCACGGCGGCTTTATCTCGCTGTCGCGGGCTGCCCATTGTGCGCGCAAGTCTCGCGATAGCTGCATTCAAACCCTGCTCCCCCCCCTCCCTCCTCCTCTCTCCCCGTATCCGATACAACTCGAACAATACGCGCGCGAAACGATCGTGGCAGTCGATTAGCGGAGAAAGTCGTCCGAATTACATCGCGTTATTCGCGATAGAATGATACCAGGCAAAGATTAACTGCTGACAAGCCGATAAAACTTGGCCATGTGCCAAGAATTCTGTTGGGATACTTTCATTCAGCTTTTCGGCGCATATCAGACGCCGTAGTAGAGGGGGCTTTAGCCCTTTGCGCGGTCAGGGCTGATTATACGTTTGGTCTTACTACTGCAACGCTCATTCCAGTCGCTCCTCGCGACGAAGATATTTTGTTTGTAATTCTATGTACGCCGTATATATGTGTATTGTAAATTATAGTGACACAGTTTTGTGAATCCGCAGATCCGCAGGAGAATGAGCTTAAAGTTGTATTACAGGATTAAAATTTAAAGGGAGCAGAATCCTAGAATCCTCGGATATATCCTAAGAGACTCGCCTGACTGTCAGTGTCTTTTGGGACACGCCGCTTATAGTTCCTCTAATCGATTAGTCTATCTCATTACGCCGGTGTTTCCTCTATTAATCTACATTCGACGCCTCCATTCAAACTCTCGAAACGGGGATGGGGCTGTTGTCTGCGTCAGCGGATTATTATACCGCCGGCGGATGGCGGAAGGATGGCGGAGGCTCATCTCCTGTCGCGGCCGGAAGTATCGTCGATAAATTCGCGGAGCGTGCGCCCGCTCAGCTGATTGGCCGGAGATACGCCGAACAATCAAGCTCTGACCTAGTTTCGCCATCCCGGCTCCATTCAGCTTTCGTGGGCCCACTCTCCCGCAGATACTCAACCACCACCACCACCACCACCACCACCACCACCACCACCACCACCACCGCCGCCTACCACCTGCGTCACGCGTATCGAGCGATTCGTGCACTGCACCAAATTCTCCCCCGCGTTGGTGTGCGGCCACGTCCGTGTGCCACAATACCGTATGGCACATAGACGGTACAGATATTCACCGAAAATCCACCCCTCCGCGCTCGTTTTATACTCCGCACACGAGGATGCGGGGATGCTCCAAGATACAGATCGTTAATTGAGAACAATAGCATTCTTTTTGAAGTCGGAATTTTAGAGATTTTTTAGAACCCTTTTTATTAGAGACAATTATATGCAGAGAGAGAGAGAGAGAGAGGGAGAGGAAGAGGGAGAGACCACGGCTAGATCTACGATTTTAATTTTTTTAAATTCTGATTTTAACTTCCTGACAAAATTCCTCGAAGAGACTCTTTTTAACGAAGGAGAGTTTTCCAATGAATTAATTGGATGCCATTGTTTCTGATTAAACATCCGATTCTTCAGAATTTTAATTTAATTTAATGTAGTGATAAACTGCGGGAATTCGAGTTAATTGTAATGCGAATATTATCAATTCTAAATGGAACTTCTGTATGGGATCTCGGATAAAAAAATTGAACGCGATTTTCCTCGTAGGCCGCACAATATGCGTTTTCTTATAGAAATATATATTCCAAGTGCTTTTAACAGCGAGTGCTTCTATTATTATGGCGCTTGCGTCTAAGGATAACGCGTTATATAATCGCGTTTACTATAATGGAAACGGTTACCGCGTTATAAGAATTTCATCGAGGAAAAATTAATCGTCGCCGTGGGGGTGACCTGTGACATTTGCGGCAGTCAGGCGATGCATTCCCGTACATTTTTCGTGTAAAAATAACAGACCGCGGTGGCGATGGCTGTTAACTTTGAGACGATAATAATGTCCACTCGATGTGCCTCCCGTGTATATGCGTGCGTGCGTGCGTGCGTGCGCGCGCGCGCGCGCGCGCGCGTGTGTGTGTGTGTGTGTGTGTGTGTGTGTGTTTAATTTTAAACGCTGGCCTTAGGCAATTCCATGCGAAGCGCGCGCTCGCTTTTACGGCTTCGATATCGAGCGCTCGCGTGTTCACGCGATTTCCTGAAATTAGATTTGGCTCTCGATAAATCTGCATCGCACTCACCGGGAAGGCGTATTTTTATCTCACGTCGTCGCACGACCGCGAGCCGGACGTGACGTCGCGTTATTAAGCGTCACGATATCTTATCCGTTCCGTATATTTTTGCGAGGAGAAACGAGGCTCGGGCGCGGGGATGGAGGGGGAGAGGGGGTGAAAGAAATGCGACAATTATCATTCATATATCACAATTAATTCGAGCGTGTTCGGGTGGTTCTTGCTTCTCGCGAGTAGTCACTTTGAGAAATACGGATACCGTCATCGGGGGGGGGGGGGAGGTGATCGAATCGGTTCACCAAGATCGGATGCGATGACATCTGTGTGAAATCCGTTCAGCATTTTTGAACAGCGCCAGTCAAGCGTACGCTACTGATATGGTCTTTGATGACGACAATCTCTCTTTCTTACTCTCCTTTCGCGCGTTTCTCCTCTCTTT